ATCACTTTCATTTCTTTTCCCCATATTCCCTCTGCCTCTCTTACTTGGTTTTTAAAATCCCTTTTGAGCTGAGACTAATTTGCACTTTTCTTTGAGGCTTTGCATGTAGCTGCTTTTATTTCATTGTTCTCATGAGTTTGTGTGATCTTCCCGGTCACCATAGTAACTTTCTACGTTTGGGTTCTCTTTTTGATGTTTGCTCATTTTTCCAGGCTTTCAGGCTTTTTCTTGACTTTTAACTTCACATTAAAGTTGGACTCTGCTTTAAGGACAGACGAGGTACTGTCCCGATCTTCAGGTTTTTTCATGCTGCTGTGTTCAGAGCTAGTTCTAGGGTCTGTAAATTTTGGTTCTTCTGAGGTGGTATGTGATGAGAGATGTGGTTATTTCTCTCCTGGTCTAAACTCTGGTCTGAGTGACCACAAGCACTCTTTTCTGTCCTGCAACTGCAACCAGGGTCCCTGCTCCTGCTGGTCCTCCTTCTTGCCCTGGGATTGCAACCTAGAACCACATATGGTCAATGTAACAGAGTCCTGTACCCAGTGCCAGCAAAGGATCTTCTGCAATTTCTTTTTGGCCAGTTGTCCAAATCCCTTCTTGTCTGAGGACTGAGAGCTCCAGATGACACTGCTGCTGATTCAGTTGCCCCCAAGGCTTGCTGCTGTCTTGCACTGGGGCATGGGGCCTCACTATTATAGGCTTGAGTTGGGTTGTGGCATTTACCTGCTGACTTGTGGAAGGGTGAGAGGGTAGGGGTGCCTTCCACTCTCAGGCAAGTGAGACAGACCTTTCCTGTTGACCTTCAAAGTTGTCTTGGGCTGGAAAATTGTTTCACCCTGTCCTTTTGTTGGTTCTGCTGCTCCAGAATTCATTTTGAGGCATTATTTTTATGTTGTTTGGAAAGGATTTTGGGAGAACTTAGGCAATTCCCTGCCTTTACTCTGCCATCTTGGCTCCACCCTCTAATACCATGATTTTTAGCAGATGAAAACAACTTCAACACTGAACTTACCAAAAAAAACACCCTCCATAAAACCCCCTAAATTCAATATAAACAAGTCCTAAGTAACATAAACTAACCATTGAACCTTGTTTTACATATAAAATTGATACGTTAATGCAAGCTGTATATTAATTTGTAACTTTGAAGATCAAATCATGTTACAGTTACATGAGAGAAATTCAGTAATTAAATAATTTTCTGATTTTCTAAAAACCATATGAATTTCCCCTGATTTTTCTGTAAAAAATTTCAAATATAAAGTTTTATTAAAGAGTATATCTATAATATTATCCAAGAGCATTATTAGGGCTCAATGAAAAAGCTCATGTTCAAATTTTATCAGTAGCTGTCATGTGTCTATCTCTGTATAAAATTAATAAGGCTCCCGAGCACAATAAGTAGGTCAATGCTTCAACTTCGAGTGTGTTTTTGAAAAGTAACAGTGGGCTTAAGAGACAGACATTAAAACCCATTGCCTCAACATTTTGGTAATTTCCACTTATCCAACATTTTGGTAATTTCCACTTATTAAATTATCTGTTTTATCCTATAGATGTTTTTGAAAATACTAGCGTGTCCCACAAATTGTAGTGAATTAGAATATCTGTTTCATAATGAAATAAAGGTCCCAAACAAGGAAAATGCAAGGAGAGGAATCTTACTATGAGCGTTTCTCATTTACAGTTAGACCTGAAAGGACTTTAGGCATTATTGGGTCCAACCCATCAATTTCTATTAAAGGAAATTTTATTGTCAATATTTGTAATGGAAAGAATACTAACTTTATAGCATCATTATTATAAAGTTATTTTATTCATTTTGAACTTTAAACTTTTTACATTGAAATAATATCATTTACAGGGTATAAAATCTGCATTATGTTTGCTATTAAAATGATTAACAATTAGCATTTAATTACTGACACTATGTAAATCAATAAATAAAGCAAAGAGTTTTACAATGCCTGCTCAGCATCCTCATTCTCCCTTGCTGGATATTAAATGATGGATTACTCTATTTTCAAAACTTTATATTTAATCTCAAACTAAAATATTTAAAATACTAAGGGTCTTTTACTGTTTCTTATAAAACGCTACAAGAACAACCTTTCAAAATAGAAAATTGAACATTCACATTGATTCTACTCATATTACACTGTGTACTTGAATGATAACAATAAGACAGATGTTCAAAAATTTCTAGGTGCAATTTGGGAAATAGTTTGATAAAAGTGGTCCATGATGACCACTGCACATACATTTTGCAATTTACTTGCTCAATATATTGTATTAAAGAGGCAATGTCATTTCATGAAAAGCTTTAAAAAAAATTCCTATTTTGAAATGATATACCAGAATACATTAACATAATCCAGAACAAGCTAGTAAACACCTATAAGAACATTTTATATAATCATTCTGGGAAATGCATCACACAGATTTTTTTTTTTTTACAAGGAAACCAGTGGAAAGAAAAATGCTAAACACTATATCTTCCTTAAATCATCAACCAAGCAAAAAACAAAGTATGCTTATAATGTGCTTTTGAGTGAACTATCCTGCCTGGTACTGAAGAATATAATGAGCTAGATTCTACCAAGGCTTAAAGAAACTACCTAACTCAAAGAGATTCCTTGGAACCAATATTGAGTTTTCCAGATATTTTGGTCCTGCTCAATCTGCCACTACAGTGTGGTTAAACTCCAATTTTCTGGAAACTTTAGTGGATAAGCAATTTTGACTATCAAGATTCTTCCTGAACTACTTAAGATTTATCTCTGTAAGCAACAAAACTTTTCTGATGATTCAGGGTCATCATTTGGAAAATAAATTGTCTGTTGTGTAATACAACGTAATGTATTATCATCATTAGGACCTGTTACAGTAAGTAACAACAACTCCATGTTGCTGTGCTTTTTGAGTTTCTCCTTTCTTAAAGTTTTTTTTTTTCTTTCTTCCTTTCCTGAAACTACAATCAGAGTGTTGGCTACTGAAGTCTCTTTACAACTGTATAATTTGAGGCATCTAATCTGAGGGAGGCTTGGAAACCTATGAAATTTTTTTTCCTAAAAATTCTTATCAAAATAAATTAGCTTTATTTTTATAAGCCAAATTACATGGAAAGTCATTGTAGAATGTTAACTCCTTGAGGGTAGGGAATATCTGATTTTTGTCTTTGTATCACCAACTCTTAAAAATATCTTAAATGCAGTTGGCATATAATAAATGCTTCTTAGACTGAAATGAACTGAATTGAATGGAAGTCAAACTTGACAAGACTGAATTTCTAATTAAGATGGTAAATGCAGTAGGTGTGTCAGAATTCTGTGTAGTATGAGGAAATAGGCTCTGAGGAGTAACTGCATGAGTTTTAATGGAGTCTGTGTCATCAATACATGATGCACAGAGGACTTTCATGAAGCACATTTGAGTACAAAGAGCACTATTTGCAGAGCCATGGACAAATTATTTAACCTCTCTTGGTCTAGTTCCTTATGTGTAAAATGGGATAATAATCCCAGTAGTCCCTCTCATAGGCTATAATGTTTACAAAGGACTTTCATTTGATTCTCATAACTATATCTCTAAATAGGACACTTAAGTTATAAAGTTTTAATGTAGCTTTCAAATTAGTAAGAATTTTTAGCAGAAATTGATAAGCCTAAGGTCTGACCCTAGAAGTAAAGTCAGTAGGTGATTCAGATCCCTTGCTACTTTGGCTTTGGTTTTTCAAATTGTAATCTTTAAATTATTTTGCAATTGATAAGGTGCTGGGCCTAGAGTTAGGCAGTTCTGGTTTCAAATCTACCCTGGGCAAGTCTCTTAACCTCTATTTGCCTCAACTGTAAAATGGGGATAATAATACCTCATGAAGTCATTGTGAGGGTCAAATGAATTAATATTTGTAAAAATGTTTAGCACAGTGCCTGGCACATGGGAGATGCTTAATAAATGCTTATTCTCTTAATAAATGCCTCTTCTCTTCTCTTCTCTTTCTTTCCCCACCCCTTCCATCCCCCCTTCTTCTTTATTAAGCTGAAAGCCACCAAAAGGCAAAAGACAGCTGCTGAAGTACCAGTGATAGTGGGCACTGTCTACAGTCAAAGCTACAACTAGTAATTTTTTGAGCCAAGACAAAAATAATTGGTGGTTGGGGAGGAAGGCAGTGCTGAGGACAGTTGGGCCACACTAAACAGAGAGGATGGCCCATCCCTTCTACAATCCAGTTCTTGCTGAAGACGAAAACAAGGGGTGGGGATGAGGGGGCCACGGGAGTGAGGGTGGTTTCTGGAGGGGCCTGATGCTGGGGTGCCACCCAAAAGAGGCAGCATACTCCAATGAAGGACAATGAGGTGAGGCATGGGGAAGGTATTTGCTGTGAAGGGCAGAAATGATCCTTCTGAAAGTTTGTGCCCTAGGACAAAGTTCTGCAGGCCTGGCACCATGTATAGCTTGTCCTTCAGCCCTTCACTAGCTAATAGCCACTTCATTTTGCTGCCACCTTTCTACTTAGGTTTGTTCCTAAGTAGAACAGGGTAGTGGAAGAACAGAGCAAATGGAAAAAAGGAAAGAGAAGAAAGAAAGGATAGGAACAGAGAAAAAGATGGGAAAAAAAAACCCAGAGAGATAAAGAAAACTTGTGGGAAACGAGACACAGAAACCAATAAAAAAATATCTCATGTACAGAAATTGACATCTAAGAGCAATTCAAGTTTTTCCTTTTGGAAATAAAGAGGGTAGACTGTGATCCTTTCAATTATTCATATTTAGTAAAAATTATAAAAACTGTTGCTTTGCCTAATTACTAATTAATCTCCCCCAAATCTAAATATAAAACCAATACAAATTTTCATGTTCCATGATGCTAAAATGATCACAAGGAGAAGCAAAGAACACTTGCTGAATAAAGATTTCTTTTTTGATCAACCATTTCTTTTGCATATTTAATATGTTCCTAGTTAAAGAAGAAAAATTACCATTAATTTCTTAAGTCTTACCAGGCATAGCATGAATGAGGTCACCACACAGAACAAAGAATTTAGGCTTGGGGTTGAGCCTGTTAATGGCTTGCACGGCTTGGTCAGTTAATCTCATCTCCTCTTCCCATTCATCACCATCATTACTACAGTCACCAATTGCCCAGGCTTTCATCAGTCCAAATTGTGGGTCTGCTCCTTGGATGAAGTAGAAAGGGGATTTCCACTGAAGCTCTTCTTCTTAAAAAGGAAAATGGAAGAAATATAAAACCTTTCAGGGAAAGGAGCCAGGTTAAAATATAACATTTTCTTAAATTATACTGTAGGTCATTATTTAAAATTTATAAAAATATTAAAAAATAATTATTAAAAAATAAGCTATTGTGCAAACACACTATTTTCCTATAACAGACATTCTTAACCTTTTTTTTCCCTAGACCCCTTTGGAAGTCTGAAGAAGCCCACCGATCCCTTCTCAGAATAATATTTTTATTATTATTTGTGTGTGTGTGTGTGTGTGTGAGGCAATTGGGGTTAAGTGACTTGCCCAGAGTCATACAGCTAGTGAGTGTTATGTGTCTGAGGCTGGATTTGAACTCAGGTCCTCCTGACTCCAGGGCCTGGTGCTTTATCCACTGTGCCATCTAGCTGCCAGAATAATATTGTAAATGCACAAAATAAAACACAGGGAATTACTAAGGAAACCATATTAAAAGGTACTTATCAAAATTTAAAAAAAAATAAAAGTTTGCAGACCCTAGAATCCCTGGGTGAGGGCATTTTGATTTCTATTAATTCTGAGAAGCCATGTGCCGTAGTGGCTACAGAGCTGACTTAAACTCAGGAGGACCTGGATTCAAGTCTTGCCTCTGACATACAGGAAGGGCTAGCCTGGGTGAGTAAGTCACTTAACCTCTCAATGATCCAGGCAACTCTAAAACTAAGTTGCTGTGGAGAAGGCACAGTTCTGTAATGGTAGAGGAAGTTTCTCCCAGGAGCTCCTTACACCAGTGAAATGACAGGTCTGATTAAGAAAAATAAAAGAGACCTGGTGATACCCAAAGGCTGGAGAAAAACATGTGGAAGAGCACAGTCAGGCCCTAACTAATGCAAAGAAGGAATCCTGTGAGGTGGCTAGAACCAATGACCATATCTTACATAATTTTAACTTTGAATAGTGCAAACTCTAATACATGTGACCAGTTCATAGAATTCATTATTCAAATTTGTTTTGTATAGGCAAAGAAACCAAGCTGTTTAAGAACTGTAGAATCAAAATGAAGTACAGAGCATTAACATAACATTGTACACAGGATACTAACTTTCAATAGCAAATTTTAAAGCCAGATTTTAAAATACCATGAATATCAGCTTTCTGAGACAGATTAAATACTTCAAAATTTTTATTCTTGCCATAATGCCACTGTTTGCACTATTTAGGGATGAGCCAGAATTTTAATTATAAAACTTGGAACTTGAAAATTTGACTATCTGGTTGAATATATAGTACCATAATGAAATCTTGAAATTCGTCAACATGGAAATTGCTAACATTTTAAAAACTGTCAGTTTAATGTGAATACACATGGGGATAATAGTACTTCTGGGGGAAGTCTTCATTACTGCATCCTTATTCTGTTGAACTGAATTTTGTGAGTCATTAATGCCTACCTTTAGAAACTAAAGCCTTAAAAGGAAATATAGAGGGGAGTTTTTTGCTATTTAAATGTTTTTCTATTTAACCTAGTTGAATCTTGGCTAAATAGTAAAATATAAGAGAAAAAAAATGCTGCTATGTCTATTTCTTTTTTGGCTTTAGTTTCTAAAGGTAGATGGATTGTGGTGCTTTTCCATTATTCATATTTAGTAAAGATCATCAAAACTGTAGTTCTGCCTAATTACAATTTAGCTAAGGTTCAACTAGGCTAAATAGCAAAACATAAAAATTTCCATATGTATTTCTTCTTGTGTTCCTAAAGATAGAAATTAATGCATAAGGTACCTTCTAGCCTTAAATCTGTAGCCTCTATTAAAGCTTCCTCAATGAGGTCCCAAAGCTGGTTGGTAGACATACGAGACAGAATGCTGAATTTGGAATCAAGTGACCTGGTTTCAAATTCTGTCTCAGGTCTTTACTAGTTACATATGTGACTATGGTCAAGTCACCTTCAAAATAGGGAAAATACTGCTTGCACGATCTACTTCACAGGGCTGTAAAATTTAAAATACTTTGTGAACAGAAGAGCATTTTACAAATTGGTCTTTTTATTGTTGTTGCTATGTTAACATAATTTAAAAGAGATTAGGTTAGCAATTCACATGAGAAAAAAAGTGGATGAAACATGCATAACAATTAAATTACAAAATGCACTTGGACAGAAAATCCATTGAGTTAATAATACAGCAATGTAAACATCTTGGACAAGCTACAGATATACAGTAAGCTAGGTTCATAACTGAATATGAGGAGGAAAATGAACTATATTACATTTGGGAAACAGTATACTGCTTTCAATGGTCCTAAAATGTCCCTTGCTACCAAAGTCAATCAATATCAATATTCTCCCAGTGTTGGCAAATGGTTACAAATAATTTAATACCAAAATCTCAGAAGAAATACAATTCAGTCACCCAAAGGGTAATGTAATAATACTCTAGTAAAGGGCAGTGTAACAATGTAATAATTGTGGGTTTAAGTAAGCTACAGCATATTACTAGGAATGGATTAAGTTAGAAATAGCATAAAAGGCATAGACAAGGAAATGAATGACTAGAAAAAGATGTGAACCAGTCATTTAATGAGAATAATGGCAAACAGATGGACAGTCTGAATGTCAGACCAGAATTTTCTTAAATACTCAAATTTCATCAATTATGATTTCATCAATTCAGGAGTTCATGCCAATGATGCAGACTGACACCCATCCAGGTGACTCAAATCTATATTCCAAATTCCTTTGAGTGATCACAGATTTCTAGGAGAATCTGCTCTAGTATTCATAAAATAATAAGAGAATCAGATAGTCCTCTATTGTGTTGAATGGGTTCTATACAAAAGATTTATGAAACGACATGGACAAAAGTTCCAGAGGACAAGAATGCAAGGGTAGGATGCAATCTCTATCGGTGGCAAGAATATAACAGTGATGAGGTGATGGATACACTGAAGTATAAAAACAAGGTAAATTAAGTAAGCTAACAGTTCCACCTGGACTTTTAGTATTAAATTTCTTTTCTTCCTTTTCAAGTTAGTTTTATACATTCATAAAGTTCTCTATATCTTCTGACTTTTTCATAAAGCACATATATATTACTAGAATAGAATTTTATTTATTGTCTGTCATTTCCTCAATCAAATCTCAAGTGAATGTCAAAAACCAACTGCATAAAACTATGATATGTGTAAACAATAGTCAAGGTGAAAACAGAGTTATAATTCTATTTGTTATAGTTAGAGTTGCCACAGCGGTAGCACTAAAACATGGCTGTGCATATCTAAGTGAGAAGCATGACTCTCTTCACAATTAACCTGGAATAGTTGAGAAGTCATGAACATCTGCTCTCATGCTGACATCTTTCCAGTGTTTGGCAGTCAGTCAATAAACATTTATCAAGCACCTGCTACTTGCCAGGTCTTGTGCTAAGCATTGGGGATACAAAGAAAGGCAAAAGATAGTCCCTGCCCTTGAAGAGCTCCTAATCTAATGGGGAAGGTAACATGCAAATAATTACATACAAACAAGCTACATACATAATAAATAGGAACTAAACAAGAGATGGAAGGCACTAGAATTGAGAGGGGTTGAGAAAGGCTTCCTATAGAAGGTGAGATTTTAGCTGGGACTTGAAGGAAGCAGGGAAATCAGGAGAAAGAGACAATGGTGGACAGCATTCCAGGCACGAGGAACAGCCTATGAAAATGCCTGGAGATGGTGTTTCTTGTGTGAAGAATAGCCAGGAGACCAATGTCACTGGATCAAAGGATATATGGGGGAGCGTGAGGTGTAAGAAAATTGGAAAGGTGGGGAGACAGGCTAGGTTAGGAAAGGTTTTGAATGCCAAACAGGGATTTTATATTAGATTTTGGAAGTAAAAGGGAGTCAATGGAGTTTACTGAGTGATATGATAGGACCTGCACTTTAGGAAGATCACTCTGATAGCTGAGTGAAGGACAGACTGGAGCAAGGAGAGACTTGTGGCAGGGAGATCAACCAGCGGCTACTGTAATAGTCCTCGTGTGAGGACGTAAGGGCAGGCCTGCAGCAGGGTGGTAGCAATATCAGAGGAAAGGGTCTGTATTTGAGAGATGTTACACAGGTAAAACTGACAGGCCTTAGTAACAGATAAGACGTGAGGTGTGAGAGAGTTAAGGACACTTAAGCTGCTAGCCTTGGAGACTGGGAGGGTGGCGGGGCCCTTCATAGTAAGAGGGAAGTATAGAAATAGATAGTGTTTGGAGGAAAAGGATAATGAGTTCAGTTTCTGACATGCTGAATTTTAAGATGTCCACAGAGTATCCAGTTTAAGATGTCTAATAGGCATTTGGAGATGTAAGAATGGAAGTCAGCAGAGAGGTAAGGGCTGGATAATTAGATTTAAGAAATCATTTGCACAGAGATGATAACTGAATCCATAGGAACTAACTGGATCACTAAATGAAATAGTACAGAGGGAAAAGAAAAGAGGGCCGGGGGTGGAGCCCATGGGTGTAGGATACCATGGAGTGACCTGGATGAAGATCCAGCAAAGGAGTCTGGGAAAGAATAGTCAGACAGGTAGGAAGAGAACCAGGAGAATGTAACGTCCCAAAAAACCTAGAGAAGAGAGTATCATCAAGAAGAGGGTGACTGAAAGTATCAAAGGCTGCAGTAAAGTCCAGAAGGATGAGGTCTGAGAAAAGGTCATTGGAACTGGCAATTAAGTGATCACTGTAACTTTGGAGGGAACAGTTTCAACTGAATGACGATAAGGAAAACCAGACTGTGGAGAGTTAAGAAGAGAGTGAGAGGAGAGGAAATGGAGACAGTTTGCAGACAGCCTTCTCTAGGGATTTAGCCACAAAGAGCAGGAGAGATATAGAATGACAGTACGGATAGATGATCAAGTGAGGGTTATGTCTGAAGGCAGTAGGGAAGCACTCAGCAGACGGAGATTGAAGAGAGGGACCTACTGTGTGCCAGACATTGTGCTAAACACAAATTACCTTGCCTTTCTACTGATGTGAGTACATGGTGTCTTAT